AAAAAAAAAAAAAAAAAAAAAAGCAGCTATATAGAGTGACTTTTACACATGCAGGAAGCCCACCACTCCATGTTTTTCTACAAAACCAGAAAAATGTGTTGATTCTAAGATTCTTCACCTAAATTCTATCCTAAGCAACTATCTCAAAAACATATGAACAGTCTCAGCTGCATCTCAATCTTAAGAACTGATCTTTGTGGTAATAAAGACAGCTGTTTACTTTCAAGAGTGGGGATGCAATGCCTTGTATAGGGCCTTTTTTTTCATTTTTATTGGAGTAGAGTTGATTTATAATGTTGTTAGTTTCAGGTGTACAGCAAAGTGAATCAGTTATCCATATACATATATCCACTCTTTCTTAGATTCTTTTCCCATATAGGCCATTGCAGAGTATTAAGTAGAGTTTCCTGTGCTATATACAGTAGGTCCTTCTTAGTTATCTATTTTATATATAGGGCTTTGTAATTCTAACACTTTCTCAGAAAACCAAATACTGGCAACTTAATCTCGTGCAACAGATCAGTAACTGGAGGGATGAACTGTTAGTGTCTGGGAGCTGAAGTCTGCCCATCTGTGAATGGCTGGATGAACACTGCAAATTTGTAGGTCCTCTGAGAAACATTAAAAAGCAACCTCAGTAGCCACACACTCAGAAAGACCAAGAAAGAAAGAACCCTGAACTAAAGCCCATTTGCACTAAGGTTTACCATATTACATTGGCATGTGAATCAGACTGTTGATTTTGGTTTATTGATTTTCTTTTTAAATGCACAAAATATTACATAAGCTAAAGAAAAGACTTGCCTTATAATCTGGCTAACACAACAAGCCAGCCTGCTTTCACACCTGTCCACTTAGTGTTCAATAAACCATTTCTACATAGCCAGCATCTTAGTGTACACCGTCCCGTTCTTTTCACCTCTGATTATTCTATGACACAGGAATCCTCATATGTCTTGCTTGCTATTGTGAGCTCACTGCTTGGCACATACACTCAATAAGTATTTGTTGAATGATGGTATAAAATTTTTCTGTGTTGCTACAGTATTTGAAATGACAGCTTTTACTTGTCACAAAATATACTAGAATGTAGAATGTCATTATCTATAAGTGCTCTTTCTATTGTTGGATATCCTCATATTCTAACTTTTCACTGTTACAAATAATGTTAATTGATAATTATTATACAGGTACAGGTATCTCCCTACTTTATGATTATTTTCTTGGGATAAATTCCCAGAATCTTCCTTTTTTTGTGTGTGTGTTGTCAATATGAAGACCTAAATTGCTAATCCACAATAGTATGTGAATAAAATACTTCATAAAAATTCTGAAATACAAGTTTTTTTCCTTGACTAGATAGCAAACGAGGCCTCAATACCGTTTAAATTTGCAACTTTTATTATTAGGTTGAATATTATACTGAGTCTGGTTGCTTATTATATTTCTTCTTACTTTTTGCCAGCTTATATTTCCTATCTAGATAACGATTTCAATCTTTTGTTATATTTGGTGCAAATATTTCTATATTCTCTCTGCTTATTTACGTGATGTGTACTAGTTTTAAATTTTATATAATCAAATTCCACAGATCCTTGAGATTTTGATCTTGTTCTCCTCTAAATATTTACTAAGGTCTTTATTCTATTTGTGTGTTTTTCAAAAACAATGTTTTAACATTTTCTTCTAGCCAGTTGAAATTTATTTTAACACAGGCTGTGTCTTAGATATAAACTGTATTATTCCTGAAACTGCTAATCTGTGGTCCCAACATGATTTACTAAATAATCCTTTAATCCATGATTTTTGCCTCCTTTATCAAATATTAAATAGGTTTTATTTCAGGGCATCCTATTTCATTTTATACTTTTCATCAATGTATATTTTTGCAACAGATTCACGCTATTTTAATAACTTTTGCTTACCATTTTACTTATATTTAATCCTTGCACACTGTTAATTTTCCAAAATATTCTTCTATTTTCTCAACTGTTTATTTTTGAAATTACAACGAATAATTTAGTCAACTCTTGAGGAAAAAAAAGATAATTTCCCTGATTATACTACATCATTACTTTTGAACAAGTGGTACTGTTTTTCTAGGAATATTACATATTTGTCTTTTTGTGAAACTTTAACACCTAAATATTTTATGTTTTCTTTGCAATGGTCATATATATATTTCAAGTTTACCTGTAAGCATCCCACATGCCACCAGGAATGAGATCTCTGTTTCACTGTGTTTTTCTAAATTGCTATTGCTGAAAAGATTGATGTCAATTTCTGAATATTTATCTTGAATTCATCACTGAACTTTTATTAATTCTAATTAATTAAGTATCTACCTCTAGTTATTAAGTAACATCAGCTCATTTTGGCTGGATGATTTTTGGCAACACCTTAAATTCTAACTCTCTGTATTTGGAAGTGGGATGCTCAGGGAAAATGTGGCACTCATCTCCAAGACAACTGAGAATGCTACCTCTATGGAAAATCATGGGCTGGTAATTTAATTTTTTTCTCTGTGGAAAATTGAAGAAGTTAAAATAATCCAATCAATCTTGGAATAATGACTGTCTATTAGGAAAATAAAACATTTTAACAGGTTAATTTTAGGGTGAACTAGTAGATGGTTATCTCCTGACTTCACAACTGTTTATTTTCTAAGCAAGCACTCTAGGTAAGAAGAAACTGATATCAATTTATTAGGATATGCATTTATGTTAATTACCCTGACAAACCTAGTAAATGAAACACATTTATAATAAAATTCAATTTATCACACTTGATTATACTCTACTTGTCTTGGCTCTAAAGTGTTTAAATCCACAAGTACTATACAAGAGCATAAAAGAAACTTCTTTTGAAACAGTAAATTGAGCTTTTTTGTTTTTTTTATCTTGCTCTGAAAAAGAGGTGACTATCAGAAATAAGGAAAGCACAAAGTATTTTCCTCTATGTTACTTTCATGTCAAAGACCACAGAGAGAGACTAGTGAGTTTTCAAATATCCAGAAAAGGAGATGTCAATCTCTATTCTGGCTACTGATTTAAAATAAACAAAGATGTAATTAATTCAGGATGAATCCTGTTCCCTGTGGGAATACAAGGTGACTATGAATATCACAAGGTAGAATCAGGGCATGGCCTTTAACTGGGAAATACTGGAGTGCAAATAAACTGAGTGTGGGTTACACCTCCATTGTACTAGCAATCTCAGAAAACAAAGTCCCCTGGGTAGAATGGCCTCGCCTCCAAAAGTCTCTCACCAAGTTACTAAGGTTATTCACTTGTGGATGACTGGCGATTAAATGGTCTTCCAGAACTAAGGGAGAACTAACAATCATTGCTTACCTTTTGAAATTGAGGTCTGAAAAGCTTACGAATGCTTGGATAACACTTGCTAAATTATGACTCAACTCACTAACTGCCATGTTAGAGCTCCTATGAGCAAATTAACTTCTTGATGGAACCGATTTCCAGCTCATTAGAAGATGATATTTAGTTAGTAAGACATTAAAAAAAAATGAATTAGCAGTGTGTAAATGCGATTAGTCATGATATATGAATGTGAAGTATACAAATGTGAACTATCAGAATCTAATTTTTGTTTTACTTGGACAGTAGATGATTAAAGCAAAAAATTACAACACAAAACAGTCCATGGTTAAGTGAAATCTATGAAAACAGTACTCAAAATATACTATGAAGGAACAAAAAGTTCTAAATATTACTTTAAGGTAATAGTCTTTCTAATATATTGCAAATTATTAAATGGAAGTGACTAACTGAAGATTCCATGTATGTTTACAACATTAATTACTAAAAAGCTTTCATATCAGTGGAATCCTTGACATTTGCTTATATACAAAAATTATATCTACTAGAGTTACCTCTATGCACTTCTTCTCCTGTAACAAAATAAAAATCAATGCATACCTTTTCCCAGTGCACAATTTCCCAAGCACCACTTCTCAAAACTGGAAAGAGAAAAGGTGACAGTTTTAAGAATATTTTTACTACTTATCAAAAGCCAACCTCTGATGAAATGATCATTTTAAATGAATAGCTTCAAATAAATTAACTGGTAACAATTTTTATAGGTTTAAAAACCAATTATGACAGCAAAGATACATAAAATTACACAAAGAAACAACCAATGAACATTTTAGATCTCAAAATAAAATACTATTTTATCTCACTGGCGTTGCCAAGGGCTTTCATCAGCACACAGAGGAATTACAGGGGTTGGCTGGAGGAGAAAGCCACAAAAATGCTTGGCAAAGGGAGTGACAAGCTTAAAAAAATTTCAGAATCCATAACAGTAGCAATGTTAAAAAAGAAAAAAAAAAGATTTACAAGCATAGCAGGA